CGTACAAGAAAATGGAAAGGAAAATATATTCTATTCAATTCCCTTAGTACAGAGACAGCCCGACTATATATAAAGTAGGATAAGATAAGTAGCCAATAATAACGTGCCACGACAGATTAAATGTAATACATAATTATTTATGCTAATACGCCCCTGCAAACTAAGGGGTGCTTAGTGACAGTCAGTTTGCTCCTTAGCTTGATGAATCTTGGTGTCGAAAAGGATTTGGTTAAGATGTCGGTTGTTTGGTCAATCGTACTAATCGGTAAGAGACGAATATTTTTGTTCAGAATGTAGTCTCTGATGAATTTCTGATATATCTCAATGTGCTTGGTTCGAGCGTGGAAGACGGGGTTGTTGGCTAGAGCAATTGCTAAAGTGTTCTCTCAATGTATGTCTCTAGGTTGTGCTTGATGTATACCGAAGTCTTGAAGAAGTCTACGAAGCCAAATGACATCGGAGGTGATTGCTGCTAACGCCCTGTATTCGGACTCCGTTGATGAACGTGCAACTGTGTGTTGCTTTTTAACTGTCCATGAGATTATGGAATCTCCTAGGAGTGAGCAGTAGCCAGATGTAGACTTCCTTGATATGGGGCCGCCTACCCAATCTGCATCGGAAAAGGATTGCAAGACAAGATTAGATTTAATTATTGGAATGCCATAGTCTGCAGTACCTTTGATATAATGAAGTAGGCGTTTGAGCATGTATGTGTGTTGAGGAAGCGTCTGATGCATGTGTTGAGACAATTGATTAACACTGTATGCTATATCTGGGCTGGTTATAGTGAAATATTGTAGTGCACCTGTTATGCGTCTGAAGAGCTTGGAATCAGATAGGATTTGATCGTCGGAGAGAGTGGATGGTAATTTAGTGCACGCAGGATTGGCTAGACCATTGCATTCTGTTAGCTGGGCTGTTTTTAAAATAGACAATGCATATTTCCTTTGAGAGAGAAAATAAGATTGATTTTCATAATCTATCTTAATGCCGAGAAAGTCATGGATTGTTCCAAGATTTTTCATATTAAATTTCAGGCCAAGTTTTGCGATGATCGTAGATATAGATGCGTTACTGTTTCCGGTAATGAGTATGTCATCTACGTATATGAGAATGTAAATTTCAGTTTTGTTTTGACGTAGAATAAGTAAAGAGGAATTTGCATTGCTATGAGTAAAGCCAATGGAAATTAAGTATGAAGTGAAAGTGTTATACCATTGTCGCGGTGCTTGCTTCAAACTGTAAAGAGCTTTGTGAAGGTGACAAACGTAGTATGGGTGTGAAGTATCTTCAAATCCTTTGGGTTGTTCCATGTAAACGGTTTCAGAAAGATTACCATGTAGAAATGCGTTAGCCACGTCCAATTGACTTACTTGCCAATTTTTATGCAAAGCGACTGTAAGCAAGATGCGAATGGTAGGTAATTTTGCAACGGGACTAAATGTTTATGTGTAGTCCAATCCATATTCTTGATTGTTTCCGTGAGCAATAAGTTGTGCCTTATACTTCGCAATTGTGCCATTCGTTTGAGTTTTGATCCGATAAGTCCATTTACACCCCAAGATAGATGAGTTCGGTGGTGGCGGGACCAAACTCAATGTACCTTGTTCTTGCAAAGCAAGAAATTCTATAGACATTGCTTGCCTCCATTCCTGATACTTACTGGCCTCGGTATAGGATGTAGGAACTGGAGATAAATCAGGCAATGTGTTAGTATGAAAAAGATTGAAACGAGCGGACGGCTTGAGGTTTCCTGTTTTAGATCTAGTGACCATGTGGTGTTGAGAAGTAATGGGAGCCGAAACTGGTATGTCCACTGAATTAATCGGGTCAGCAGAAATGGGATTAGTGGAAGGATTGAAATTCTGTTTAGTGTTCCCGGTTGTGAATATAGTGTCAGGATAGGATGTGTGCTGCAGTTTAGGTGATATGATGGGCTGAATTGAGGTTATCTGAAGGAGCATAGGAGATATATCTGGTTTGTTTGTATGGGTTGTAGAGTCAGTTTTCTGAAACAGAAAAGAATGTTCTTCAAATGTGACATGCCTCGAAATAAAGATTTTATTGTTTGAAATATCAAGGCATTTATATCCTTTATTTTGATCGGAATAACCGAGAAAGACGCATGATTTGGATTTTGGTTGTAACTTATGACGAGTGTGGGAAGGAAGAAGAGGGTAACATTCGTAGCCGAATGTTCGTAGATGACTGTAGGTAGGTTTGACTTGATGAAAGAATTCAAAAGGTGATATGTTTTTGGTATTGATGGATGGCATCTGATTGATTAAGTATACGGAAGTTAAGACAACTTCGGGCCAGTGAAGATAAGGGATGGAAGCAGTATGTAGAAGCGTCCGAGAGGTTTCTATTATGTGTCGGTGCTTGCGTTCAGCAACGCCATTTTGCTCCGGGGTGTAGGGACAAGATATTTTGTGTGTGATGCCATGCTGTTTGAGATAATTAGTGAAAGAACGATTGAGGTATTGGTACCACCGTCAGTGCAAAGAACTTTAATAGATTTAGAGGTGTAATTCTCAACTTGTTGTTTAAAGGCTGTAAAAATGTCAAACACATCAGATTTATTTCGCACTGGAAAAATCCAAGAAAATCTCAAAAAAGCATCAACGAATAACACGTAATATCAGTACCCTTGAACAGAGTTAATAGGAGACGGACCCCAAATGCCCGAATGAATAAGCGCAAGCGTACTAGTTTGACGAGTAAAATTGTTTTCAAAAGCAAGTTTATGACATTTTGAAACATGACAGGATTGACAAGAATTTATGCTATCTTTTATTTTTAGATGCAAGTTGCATCTTGATATGGACTGAAGTGTTCGTTCGTTTGCATGGCCAAGCCTATAGTGCTATGGAATAGCATTATTCTTGGACGTGGCAAGTGCCGTTTGCTGGTGTTGAGCGGAACTAGTCTGAATGGGATATAGCCCGTTGTGACATGGTCCTTGAAGAAGAACTTGCTGCGTCGTCAAATCCTTAAACACGAAACCAGAGGGATTAAATGTGATAGAAATATCATTATCTTTCGTTAATTTTGAAATAGAAAGAAGGTTGTAATGTAGCGACGGGGTATGGAGAATTTGCGATAAGTGCAGCTTACGAGCTGGGGTTGGTAGTAATCCTGCCCCTGAATTAGCTATGTTGATCGGTCGACCATCTCCGATGATAACACTATCTGATCCTTGGTGATGTGTGGAGATTGTCATAATGTCAAAAGAATTGGTAATATGCGACGTTGCTCCTGAGTCGAGATGCCAATTTGTGTTGGAATTATCTGAAGCAGCGACAAGAGCTCTTTTGTTCTGAGTTGATGCCGAGGGAACATAATTGGTGTTAAGACGGTGCCAGCATTCTGAAGCTGAATGTCCCTTTTTGAGACAGATTTGGCAAACAGTGGAAGGCTGAGCATAACGTCGGTTGGTGTGACCGGTTGAGGCATTGATCTTGCCTCAGTTACGTTTACTACGTTCGCGAGAGGAGTACAGAGCCACATTAAGATCAGGAAGGGATTGATTCTTGACGGCATCAGAGGCAAGGTTGATCTCTTCGCTGAGCAATAGCAGATAAAATTGATCTAGACTAATTGGATTGATCATGGTGCGAATCGTATTTTTAAAGGATTGATATGAAGGGGGTAAGTTGTTTAAGATGTACAAAATGATATCCTCATTGTCAACGACAAATCCGACAGATGCGATTTGATCAACAAGGATCTTGATTTCGGATAGGTATTGAGTCATAGTCAAGTTCTTGAGGGATATATTGTAGAGGGTGGTCTTAAGTTTAATAACTTTCGAACGATTCATGGACTGAAATCTGCTTTCGAGCACGGACCAGATAACTGAGGTGGAGTCGAGATTCACAACATATGGAAGAATAGATGATGAGATTGTGGAGCACAGTGAGGCCGAAACGTTTTGATCGGTGAGATTCCATAGGGTAAAAGACGGATTTGCAGTTGTAAAACCTTGAGAATCTTGGATCGTTTGAGAGGGAATGGGGTAGGAAGGATCAAGATACTTATCTAAAGCATTTGCACAGAAGATTTTTAGGATTTGTGATTTCCAGATCGAGTAGTTCTCTAGGTTGAGCTGGATCGGAACAAGATTTTTTATGTTGGAGACCAAAAATTTTAGATTGGGGGAGATGACGGATTCTTCTTGGGACGATGACTCCATGCTTTCGCTTAGTTGCGAACAAGCTGAGTTCGCCATGATCAAGATTGGGAAAGACATGCTCTTGATACCATGATGAACAAGAAGAACCGAGAGAAAGGAGAAGCGTACAGGAAAATGGAAAGGAAAATATATTCTATTCAATTCCCTTAGTATAAAGACAGCCCGACTATATATAGAGTAGGATAAGATAAGTAGCCAATAATAACATGCAACGACAGACTAAATGCAATACATAATTATTTATGCTAATAAAATGGTTATAACAAGGGCCCTTTGATCGGGTCGTTTTACTGTCAAATGATATCACTAAATTACGGTCACAGCTAGAGCCTGTATATTCTATTTTTGTGAGTGAGAGTGTACTCTATTTTTGGGATTGGTAGGAGAATGTCCTCTTATTTTGCATTATGATTGTAGTCTTTTTTTTTTTAAATTTATTGGATCTTCTCTCCCATGGGCATATGCTTATTTAAGTTGAATTAAAAAATCTGTAGCTTTTTGTGTGGTATTTATTCTCTTTTACATTTATTTTATGATTTTTTTTGTATTAGTTCATTGGTTGATGCTATAAAATTATATGTTCTTTATTTATTTTCATTTTATTTTGCATCATAAGGACTCATGGATGTCTTTAAAGCATCAAATTAGGCGTACTTTTCTTTTCAACAATTCTTGGCAAGTGTTATAATCTATAGGAGTAAAATATATCGACACTCAGACATTTAGATTGCAGTAAGGAGAATATTAAAGATAAATTTAATAGTAGTCTGTAATGCACTTACGTTCATTGAACTTCGTGTTGTAGATCGTGGAAGGTATGCAGGATGATCAGAAGAGGAGACTCCTTTACTTCTGGACGTCCCTAAGGCACTTACCAGTTGAAGGTTTTGGTGGTTTAAGTTCGAAACTACTTATTTCTAGGACTTTGAATTCACAGAACCGCCTGCCAACATCTCAAACCTGCTTCTATAGTCTCTATCTCCCTCAGTACTCTTCTATCTCTGTAATGCACGACAAGATACAGTTGATCACTCAAGAACATGTGAGCTGCTCGTTCGGAATGTCGTAACCCTGTGGATAAAAGCTGGATAGGTAATTTTGCACATAGGCTATAGAAAATATAATGGTGATTCTAATGATTACCAGTGTTTTTTTTTAGAAGAAATGTCTATCATGTTTCCTAGTTTTATTTATTTATTTTACGCCCTATTTTCTTGGTACGGGGCCTTGAAACGATCTTTGATTCCGATTGATATAGAATCCTCTTTATGCAAATTTAGAAACTCTAAAATAATCAATCCCATTAAATTTCTTCTTATCTTTTTCTGATCTCCTGATTCGAGTTTTGGAATGAAGGACAACGAGGTAGGTTAGGTTAGCGAATCAAAAAATTAAAGTCCCCTTATTAAATGCATATAATAAAATTTTTTTTGGGACATTTAGATCAATTATGGAAAATATACAAACATTACAGGCATAACTCTCGAATTTAAGACTTTTTAGTTGGTAGTCAATGCTTTCAATAACAGACCAATATGAGCTAACGGATATGATTAGAAATACAATTTGATAAATCAAATTCTAGAGCTTGTAACTTCATTAAACCTTGACATGAATAGAACAAATTTAAGAAAGTCGTCTATAAGCCAAACTAAAAAATTCACTTGAACAATCATAAAACTGACATAGAGAGATTTATGGATCTTATTAGTAATGATGAAGCTGAAATTGATTTTTAAGCACAGATTTGCAAATAACTAACAGTTTCATAGAACCGTTGGTTGAAAAATATTTTTTGCACTTAAAAATGTATGTTTGGCATGTTAGATTCAAATATCAAGGATGATTTGATTAAATATATATTTTACTTTGATCTATTCTTTTTTTGTTTTTATTTCTCATATTTCCGAAGGGAGAGAATATTATATGTTGGTTGCTGTATAATTATTGTATCGCAGTTTTTATCAGGATTTTCATATGCTTATATTAAAAATTAACCTCTCTGTTCGTCTTCTTCTTCAAGATTTACTTTCAAAAGCTTCAAAAAATATTTCAGATATCTCTAGGAGCATCTCCATTTTTACAAAACTTTCTCTCTCTCTCTCTCTCTCTCATCAAATAGGTTCAAGGCACTCAATCCCTCGCCTCATTTTGAAGTTTTACATAGTTTATTTTTACCGTTCTAATTTCTTTTAGCTTTCCTTCCATTATTTTTCTCTGAGCAAAATTTTATGTGATGTGAAAAATAGTGTGAGCTACTTTTATTTTACTCTGGAGATATATATTTTTGAGGTTAGAATCATTATCTTTGATAAAATAAAACGTTTTAAAATAGCTTTGTCTTGATATATTTTGTATATTTTGATTTCTTTTTTAAGTTTCATTTAAAATCCATTTTACTCAAACCAAAATCTCTTTATTAAGATTTCGTTTGGGAAGGCTTTCTTTCTGCATCTTAAAATAATTTTTTAGTACAACTATTTTAATTTTTGTACTAAAATGTTGCTTTAAAAAGCACAAAGAAAGTCGTCTCAAACACTACAGAAAAATCACCCATTACTGACGAAATTTTCCTGTGATTTTTCGACGGTCAAGTTTCTGGCAGTTTTCCGACGGAATGAAATGAGATAAATTTTCCGGCGATGATTTCTGTCAAATTTCTTTCCGTCTGAATTTCTCGACGACTTTTCCAGTTGATTTAAAATTTAACTATTTAAATGATTTAATAAAAAATAATTTCAATAGTTTATTTTAATTAATTTTTTAATTTTAATACTTTACTTTAATTAATTATTAATTTTCATTTTAATTTTAAATTAATTATATAATTTAATTTTCATTTTAAGTACTTGATTATTAATTTTACGTATTTTTCTATATAGTTTAAAACTTTATTTTCATTAAGTATAAATTTAATAATTTATGTTAAATAACTATTAATTTAATAACTTATTTTAATTAATTATTGATATACTAACTTATTTTAATTAATGAAGCCTAAATCATATTAGCTTTAGCTTTTTAAGTTATTAAATGTAGTTTCATTGGAGGTGAACTAATAAAATATTTGTAAAGATCACTATTTATTTTTTTGTTCTTTCATTTTGCATAATATTATGATTTTATATTATCTAAATGGGTCATAGTTGCCCATTTAGCCGAACATATGGGTTGTACTTGACTTCTATATTTCGGAGTAGTGAGGTTTTTGAGACAAATTTTAGATTAATAAAATCCAATCTCCCTCTCGGGAGTGGGCTAAAGAGTGAATGTATGTCAAGTAGGTGATTAAGTCCCATAAAAGTTAATTATTCTACATATTTTATCATTTGTTTTGCATTTTATGTTTTCTTTGCTTAATTGTTTACACTCCTATAAATAAAAAAACTTCTGGTAGTGCAAGTGTATATTTATATTACTCGCTCTCATTCTCCATTAATTTTTAAAATTAGTCAAAATTTCTTGAAATCCAAATTTACCCCTTTTTGAGGTGCCAAGTTTTCTTACAAGTTGAGCTAGAGAAGGTGAAAAAAAAGTAACTTTGGTGCTTAGGAATTTGGAGCAGAGAGCATATTAATGAGTAAAAAACTACCTAGTGCTTTTCCATATATCAAGTTGATTGCCTTTAAAAAACAGATATTGGCTTGCTATTGGATTCAACTATATGGCAAACATAGTGAGGTACAAGAACTCGTTGTAAGATAATGAATAGAACAATAAGTAAGTTGGGGAGCTACTAGATTAAGAAGCATTAAGGCTAAATAGCTCATCTTATGTACGTCAAATTATGTTGTTATCGAAGAAGGATGATATTCGACAAATATTCAATGAATATGAAGCATAGAATAAAATTACAAACATGCTCCCTTGCCAGTAGATGCCTTATTATGGACTGTTTGAAGCATATCTTAATCTTCAATAAGTAATATTTGAAAGGAGGCCTATCATCAAGTTTGAATTCACAAAGAAGATATATGGAAGGATGTATTTGAAACTAAACATAGACTGCCTCAAAGTAGGGTGATTTCATATAAACTATGCATTTTACAGCAGTTTTTAGGTGTCTAATGAATGGTATTCTAAGGCTATTTATAGATGAGTTTGTCATAATTTATATAGAAGACATTATTATATATTTCTAAACATGGAAAGGACACCATAAAAGCACTAGCTTATCCTTAACCTAAATAAGAAAATTTTTTTGAAGAGAGGCATACTCTATTTGGGCTTCAAGTTTAGTGTTTGTGAGACAAAATAAATTCCAAGAAGATCAAGACAATCAAGGATCACTTGGCTGGAAAAAATGGTTATTAAGTAACAACATATGCCATATTATTAAGAGTTTTATAGCCCAAAAGAATCACCTAATTTATGATAAAAGAATTACACACTTCACCAAGAAGTAAAGCGTTGGTGATCTTATATATATGTTTAAAAAGAAACCACTATCCACATAGACCACATGATGCTTCAATACTTCTAAATATAATCCTCCTTCAATAAGCTCAGTACATGAGGTGGATAGTGTACTCATAATAATTTAGCTTAGTTATTTGATATAATAAGGGCATGGTGGGAAAATAAATTTCAAAGCCCGTGTATATTCGTGGTGCTCCTATTTTTGTAATTGAATACATAATTGAGAATAGTGTACTATTTTGGGAGATAGAAATGATATTCTATAATAGATTTAGATAAATAAATAGGATTTTGAAAATCATTCACTTTTATAATCAAATATAAATGGAAGAATAACATACTATCTTGAAAGATAGAAATGCCATTCTAAAATAATATTTGAAAGAGAAAAGCAAGGTTTTCAAAATTTTTTATTTTTTCTATCAAATATAAGAGTGATTATATCATATCACCTTAAAATATGAAAATGATAATCTACCAAGGTATTTGAATACAAAAATGGGTTTTAAAAAACCAGCTATGTTTCCAAAGATTTTATCCTTATCTTATTAAAATAAGATATAATTTATTTTAATCTGGAGTTACAGGTCCCCAATAAAGGCAAGCCTATATGGTAATTGCATCCCCAAAGAGACGACTTCCAAGAATACTCTCAATTAAAATAGTGATAGATATTTCCTTAGATTTTAATGATTAAAGCAAGGATGTGTGGTTTGGAATTGCCAAAATGGGATTGAAACATTTTGAAATAATTCTTTCTCGAAGATAAAGAATGAAAGGAAGGGAGCACTTTAAGATTCTAAGACCATTCACACTACAGGAAAAATGCCGCTTACCGGCAGTTGAAGGACTGCCGGTATTACCGGCGGTTAATCCGGCGGTGTGGCCGCCGGCTAATACCGGCAGCCTACCCGGGGGTTTGGTAACGTTTGACCGCCGGTATTAGCGACGGTGTTATAACCGCCTGTTAAACCGCCGGATTTCAATCTTACCGGCGGTGGAGACCGCCGTTGATAAGTGATGAAATTACCGGCGGTCACGACCACCGGAAGACCGCCGGTAAATGCCCTAAAATGAACGGGCCCGAGCCTCGCATTTAATTTCTAATCTTCCCTTCTCTCTCTTCGGACGAGCTCTGCCGTCGCCTGTGCCTGTCTCGCTCGATCGTGCCTACTGTCTTGCCGCTCTCCGACCGCCGACGAACTCAGTCCAACCGCCGACCCCACACTGGCCGCCTATCGCGCGATCAAGGTCTGTTATCTTGCCGCCGTCGATCTCACACCGGCTACCCTATTTTTCGTGTGAGTTGAAGAAAAACTGGGATTTGAAGGTATTCTTTAATGTTTATGTGATTATTTGTTCTCACTAGACATTTGCAAGAGTTTGTAATTTATTTTATGATTTAGGTTTGTAATCGTTTATGTAGATCTAAATTTCCATTTATTAATTGTAAATTTTGGGTGAGTTTGTTATTATGTGATTATTTGTTCTCACTAGACATTAATTTAGTAATGACAGATCTAATGAGTTGATTGTGACTTTGGATTAGAGCAAGATAGCAAGAGAGAGATTGAGAGAGAGAGGGAGAGAGAAAAGAGAGAGAGAGGGAGAGAGAGAGAATAAGAGAGATAGATAGAGAGAGAGAGCAAGAGCGAGAGCTAGAAAGAGGGAGAGAGATATAAAGAGAGAAAGAGAGCAAGCAAGTGTTAGAGAGAGCAAGAGAGAGGGAGAGTGAGAGAGAGGGAGAAATGAGAGAGATGAAAAGGGAGAGATAGGAAAAGAAGAGAGGGAGAGAGCAAATCTTAAGTTGTCGGGTATGAAGTTCTAGTCATTTAGTTTGCTTCCCTAGCTCTAAAAAAGCATACCTTTCAAACAACCTTCAATTGCATATAGTCTACT